CAGTAAGAACAAAATCCGCGACTCAGAGCAGCCCCTTTGCAACAACTTCCGCTAGCTTGCCAATGAACTAACTATACAGTAATAGGGGTATTCTGCTCGAATCTCCAACTAAACGAGTACACAGATCGGTATGAGGTGTCTAGGTCAGTTTTATTATCATCTACGTAGGCATCGTCGCTTGACGCTTTTCGTCGCACGGTTCAACCGTACCTGTACATGCGTCTTTTTCATTTCTGGTTTGCTCAGCCATCGTGTCACATGAGATAAGCGTCATTTCATACATCGAGCTCCAGTGACTATCACAATGTATTTTTAAAACTTAAACCTCTCCCCTCTGTGCTCATATTTGGTAGCATTTTAAACTGAACGAACAAGGCAGCCACAGGGCTCTATGCCAAAATACACTGAACCTGATTCAGTTGTGAATGGTTAGTGATGTAAGCCTTATTCGTTTAATGTAATTTGATCCAAGCAGGAGTCTCATATGCCGTAAGTAAGTGTCTTGACGATTTTCATACCATGAGCTTATCTTTTTTGTGGAAATGAAAATGTTGCTGACGATATTTGAAATATGGTTCAGTTTCTCGGCCGGATTTTCTTGTTATGTGGGCTACTTCCTGATACCGCAATGTTTCCTCAATCATACAAATGTTACGTTCAAGAAAACGATTCATGTGCCGCTTTAACTATGGAGACTTGAAATATTTCGCCTTGGTTAAGCTGAGCTGGTGCTTATGTTCCAAGTTTATTCCAACACTTACTCAAATATACGCGTATTAGCGAAGGGCCAAACGGGCGCAATATCTTGTTTAAATTTAATGTCTCTTGTAAGATAGATTATTATGCTAAAGATCCTATGTCAATTTGCATCTGAACGAAAGAGTGTTCATGCAGAATTTTTTTTACTGAATTAGCTTTCGTTCTCGCCAAGTTTTCTCTTTTGCGCCTGAACAAAAAGCAAAGAAACTTTCCGTACGTTTTTGTCTTCCAGAAAGCTGAAGATAAATAATTGGGTGGTCCTAGCTGTTCAGCGTCAAATTACCTCGCAGAAGCTGGTTTTGAAGATAATGTTTCGCGAAAGCATTTCCTATACTTATTGTATAGCGCCACGCAAAAAAAAAATTATTCTGGCTGCTTCTTTCGATATGATGCGACATGATCTTGACAAAAACTGAAAAAAAAAAAGGCTGTATTCCTAAACTTGAATCATTAGGAATTGATTAGTTCAGGAAATGTAAAGCTGCAAAGCGCTGCGTCAAAGCGCTATTCCTATCCCCTGTCAATGCACCATCCATCAGACATTAATTGAACTATTTTATTAACAGTTAGGCTGATAGAGACTCTTGAGGAAATGTAGAAACTGCACCTTCAAACATAAAGGCCAAAGTTGACAACAGATTCTTGAAATTCACAAGGAAGTATAATAACATGCAAAGAACATAATTTCGCAATTTCCCCAGATTTCCTTCACTTTCCTAGATTAAATTAAAATTGTTCATTCCACCGAAGGCAACTTTCTCTTTGGTTCGTCACACTGTTCGTGAGACCACTTGGCTAATTACTCACTAAAATGAGTTTTAAAATACGGAACACCTGTCTTATGACTCGCGAGAAAGTACAAAATCTCCTTAAGGTTGTAATATTTGTTCTTTCTTTTTCCTCTAAATTTCTTCTGAAATAATACAATCTTGAACAAAACGAAAAAAAAACCAACAACTGAAAAGGAAAAGAGAAAATGAAGCTAATATTCAGGGGCTTGGACATCTCAGAAGAGTATAGAGAAATAGAGCTCAATTTTTAGAACTATCCAGCAAATTTTTTGTTGTTGTCGTTGTCAAACGATGTATTTCACAGTCATTACCAGCAATCTAGCTAATAAGCGAACTAGCTACTTAGCGCGTGCGAAAAGCGCAATTCACCTATCTGCTATATACTAATTTGGTTTGTTTATTCATAATTTTCTCATCGATACTAACCAATCGTTCCCTCACAGTTTTCTTTAATTCTGTTGCACACGATGTTAGTTTCGGCTGAAATCCAAGTGAGAACTCTGGGTTATGGGGCGTTCATTTTGTTTTTTAGGTTTCAAGTGTCATAGGGACAAGATGGGGACAATGACAAAAAAATGAGATTTTTAAGGGGAGCTCGGCAATCCCTCGACAGAGTACCAAAAGAAAATATGCACTTTATTTAAAAACGAGCAAGCAGCTGGGAACATGAAAAGAATAATCTGAGACTTCGTTAAGAATTTGAACATCAGACCTTCCCATGGTGCCTTAAACCACGGAGCTGCGTTACAAGCCAGTCCAGCATAGTGATAAGATCGTCAATCAATACTTGCCTGAATATTCATCAGAAACTTTCGAGGGGGGAGGGAAGGAGACCCTTAGTAGGTGGAGCGGGAACACTCGCCCTCTCACATGTAGTTGTGGCCTTAGTTCGACTCCCCAGCGATTCTGACGATACTTGTGGGTTGAATTGGTTACTGTTTTCTTTTTCTTTCGCCATCCTAATTTTTCTCCCAATATTGATAACATCTATATAATTTTTAGATTATCCAGAAAAAATAAGAATCCCCGTGAAGAAAATAACCGCGATTGCTGTTGGAGAAGAGTTCGAAAAAAAAAACCAAACAAGGAACGCCTCAGTAAACACGACGAAACAAATATCAAATTTCTCAAAAAGGCCATCGATTGTATACCTCTGGCAAATGAAGATGGAGCTGATTTTTAAAATAATTATCGCTTTCATTTTAACCCTTCAAGCGGGCACTTTATTTTTATAGCAGGAAAGAGTGATTGGGAATATTGCTTTTCCGAGGATGGCAGCGACAATATAACCTGTAAATGTGTCCGCAAACCCTCGCTGATGTACCTCTGGAACAAAGGCACATTTGGTTTTTCTAGTATCACTTTGTTATTGTTTCTTGCTGAAGTAGTCATCAAGGCATTTAGGTCTACTTAAGTGTAATCTTGGAGAGCTAAATAAAGGTTTTATGTCTCATTTATAGTTGCTCATTTTAGAGCCCCAAACACATTAGCCAAAGGTACCGGTTCAGTTAATTTCTTTGCGATGCACAAAACGCCACTGCCTCCTTAGTTCCCGATTGTTTTGTTCTGAAAGCCGCTCTTGTAGATTAAATTGTTGAATAGCAATAAGTAAATACAGGGAGATTTTGGATGCGACCTCCCTTTGAAAAGGCCTATTTCAGTTTATAATTAGCTGTTTTGGAAGGAGATTTGTGATGGGAATATTACTTTTACGAGGATGGCAGCAACAATATAACCTGTAAATGTGTCCGCAAACCTTCGCTGATGTACCTCTAGAACAAAGGTATATTTGGTTTTTCTAGTATGAGCTTGTTGTTGTTTCTTGCTGAAGTAGTCATCAAGGCTTTTAGCTCTACTTAAGTGTGATTTTGGAGATAAAAATATAGGTTTTATTTCTCATTTAGTCGTGCATTTTAGAGCCTCAAACACACTAGCCAAAGGTACCGGTTTAGTTAATTTCTTTGCGGTACACAGAACGTCATTGCCTTCTTAGTTGTCGCCGGATTGCTACGTTCTGAAAGCTGCTCTTGTAGACTAAATTGTTGAGTAGTGATAAGTAAATACAGGGAGATTTTGGATGCGACCTCCCTTTGAAAAGGCCTCTATGGAAAAAGAGAGTGTTGTAAAGTGCTATTACGATTCAAGGTTTTTTAAGGTAAGCATGCAAAGATTGTGCCAGTCTTACCGCCTTACAATAGGTTTGACTGTTGTCTTTCTCTTCTAGTTGTTCGATTACTCGAACATGGATTGTTGTTTCTGAACTGGTCTGGTCGTGTTGAGTACTTTATTTTGAGTTTTTTAATTTCAATCGTAAAATGTTTAGCTAATTATTGTATAGTTGTTGTGCGAGTCTTATCAAGTTCAGAAGCCCGCAAGGTCGAACTCGTAATTTTACTTTAACAATATAGTTTGTGCTGACTCTATTTTTCAGGTTTGTTTCTCGAACAAAGATGTTCGTCGGTGGTCATGTTTGGATGTGTTTAGTGAACTTGTAGAAAAAAATACATTTGACCGGGTCAGAATTTTGAACAAGGGGTTAAACTCTGCAAAGACAGTCAGCACATTACCCACATGTTCACTAATAAGGTACTTTAGAGAGAGAAACAATTTGGTCAGTTATAGATAAAGAAGAAGAGAACTAAGAGTCTTGGTGTCTCCTGACTGTGTGGGTCTTCTCAAAAGCTAGTTTTCCTTTTCATTGCATCTTTACAGAAGGTTATACAATGGACAACTAAAGTAGTTACTCAGACACTCAATTACGAGACCATTGCCGCTACTTTATTTGATTATTCATTATAAGAAATGTATAGAAAATCCCTGTTTGCAATGATGCATGGCTTTAATATTTCCTCCTCCTCCCCCTCCCCAGGGCTGTCCACAAGTTCCCCAATTTTCTCAAAAATTTGCTCCAATTTTCTCAAAAAGTTGCTCAAAAGTTGCTCCAAAACTCTAAAAGTTGCTCAAAAGTTGCCCCAAAATCCAAAAAGTTGCTCAAAAGTTGTTTTCATTTTTTTAGTGTAAGAGATTGATTAACAACTTAAATAAAGATTTAATGAAGAGATTTCACTTTGCATAGATACTCTATACATAATTATATCATACTGACTCATCAATTTTATAAGACTGAGTCTCTCTCAGCCCAAATCATAAAAATTTGATTCTCTGTATGAGCTTTCTATTACGATAACCACGTGATTGTATTCGAACAAAATAAACTTTGCTAATATGCTTATTACATATTTAAATTTTTTCTGGCATATACGAGTTTATGTGGTATAAAAAAAAAATAGTCTTTCAATATTTACATCTTTGCGGATCTAGTACAGAGCACTGTCCCTGTTGGTCAATGTTTTGCACCACCAGCTAGTCCTCTACAGACATATAGTTCAAGATTTCATGTGCGCTTATCGTCATTGTAACGTAACATGACCGATGTTTCCACTGTTTCCTCTAATGCTGCCTCTTGCTGCTTGCTAAATGCATTTTGCAGCAGGCTAAACACTCGTTCAGCTGATGCTGAACTAGGCTGCACCAACAAGATCTTTTTGACTGCAGTAGATCAATTTGGGAGAGCAGCGGCATGTGTAGCCCCCACTGTACTTTGCCTTCCTCTGTTTCAATGGCTGCACCATCAGCAGTGGCTAGATCCAGATAGTTTGGCAGCTCTTCCACAAGCTGTACAACTTCTGCAGTAATGAAACTAAATTGCTTTAGTTCCTGGACTGATGCAGCAGTTGAATGTAGTGCTTGCACCTGTATTGGGCAGCATAAGCGTGCAGCCTTAAATGCACGGACAATATTATGGAATTGCACATGGAATTTCTGTTGGTAAAAGCGGAAGCCTGGATTGATACATGCCTTTGCTTGAGCAACTAACTGTTTGTACAATGCCATATTTCTACCTGCATGTTGGCGAGCTTTGGCCTCAGTGTTTGGATAGGATTCAATGGCTATTGCATGTGCTAATGCGGACAAACGCTCATAGCAAGTAAATACTAAGGGACAATCCCCCTCAAGATAATAAGTTGCTTGAACAAAGTGCTTGCCCGCATCAATCTTAGCAGCAAGCTCAATGTCTAAGTCTCTAGCAGTAACTGGATCATCAAAAATCTCCAACAGGCTTGCACGGCAAACAGGAGACAGGTTATCATTTTCTCTTAGAAAGGGCTCAACATCCCCAACCCCATGACCTGATTGAGGACTTCCCATTTGCTCCACCATCTGGTTTTGAATGAAGTTGCATTGCTGTGCCAGTTCTTGTCCTCCACAACAGCCGAGAAGCTGGACTGAGAGAAAACAAGGTGTTCCAACACCTAGAAAATGTGTCTAGGACACTAAATTCAAAGTGTTTCCCAACAATATCGATTGTGTGCGAGTAACAGATGATACTAAGAATATTGGGGAAGAAAAACATGACTTGACGCAATCCAGCTTCATATACTGATGCACCATCTCTCATTGCTGCTAGAAGATGGCTTGGTTGCATTCCATACTTCACAGCCAGGCACTGAATCAGCCTTTGAGCAAGCTCATCCGCATTCATGTTCTTGGCTAGAATTTCTAATTTGAGAAGCCTCTGTTGTATATTGCAATCTTTGTCAATGAAGCGAACGATAATTGCCAACGCTTCTCCAAGTATGGTGTTCCCATCAAAGATCACAGAAAAAGCACTGTTGGCAGCTATTTCGGATTTCACAAAGTCTATCTCCTTCTGACGAATCATGGGAATAAATTCTGTTAGATGGTTCCGAGATGTCAAGCGATGACCATATTTTTCAAGAAATGGTCGCAAACTGTCGACTTTTAAAAGGGGAATACCTGCCTTCAGTAGAGTTTCCACAAGCTCATATCGATAGAGCATCATGTCTTCAGGTAATGTGGATGCTTTTGCTCCTCCGCTTGTTTTTGCAAGAAGATCCTTGATATTTGGATCTTTCTCCTTGCTTTTCTTAATATTCTCCAGCGCTTTGATTTGCTTTATGGATAATACGTGTTTCTTGACAGAACTTTTTTTTTGGAAAGACTTTCTCTGCAGGCGTCACATCTTAAATTTCCCGACACTGTGGTTAGGCACTGGTCTTTAAACTCATTCGCTCTATTCCACGCGGACACATTTGGATCGACTGATCCACGCACATTTCTCTTCTTTTCGGCTGGATTAGTCTGCACTTTTCTTTTCCGAGATATACTGGCTTTTTCTGGAGTACTTAATCTAGCTCCAGCACTAGCAGCTACTTCTAAAGGATCTGAATCTTAATCATCTTCACTCGAGCTCAAGCATGGATAATCACTCGGCTCCGCCATTTTGAATTTTACAGCACATCCGCTGACCACCTTCGGCTGCTACCACAAGCAGACCACTAGGGGAATAGTGTTTTTTGTTTACAAAAGGTATTTTACGCAAAATCATGCATACAAGCAACTGATGCTTTAAATCAGAACTTGAATGGGCGGTTTTTAGTCACAAATTGCCTTAAAAAAGCAAGAAAGTTATTCAAAAAAGAAAAAAAGTTGCACGAAATCCGAAAAGTTGCTCGAAGGACTAAAAGTTGCTCCAAATCTGAAAAGTTGTTCAAAAATTGCCAAGCAACTTGTGGACAGCCTTAACCCCCCAGGCGAGAAACTGCTTTATAGAAACTGATAGAGGGCCCATTGTCTTTGGCTGGGAATCGTCTGTGGAATTTGTGTGAGTTGATTAGCAAGAGAGTGTTACATTTTCTTGTAATAGTAATGAGGGGAAACCCCTTTCACGAAATCAGTTCATCAGGAATCAATGTAAATTAGTTGAATTTATATTTCACAGATGGTCAAGAAAATCAAGAACAGGATGCTTACAAAGTGAGAGAGCTAGCGGGGTATTTAGGGAACAAACTAAGCCTGTCTATGAACCTGTATCAATCGGCACCGTATTAAGCGCCAATTGTCCAAGACAATCGAGGGCCAGTTATCTTTGGTTGGGAATCGTCTGTGGAATTTGTGTTATTTGATTAGCAAGCGAATGCTACAGTTGCTTTCAGTGGTAATGAAGGAGAAACCCCTTTCACGAAATCAGTTCCAGACAATCAACCTTCTACAAACAGTTCCTCTTGAATTGCTCTCAGTAGGTGTGCAGACAATTTAATAATTAAACGCTCTTTGCCTTTGTTCGAGTATAATTTGAGAGTATCATAAGTCTGTTATTTTTATTCTTAGCCCCTGCAATCCAATTTATCAGGAAGCAGCCCAGCTTGGGAATAGATATATTTGTGTCAACATTTCATTCAAGGTGCAGTTATATTCCACAAAAGAGTACAAATTATCTTGTATTTGAACAATGCTATCCACTCGAATAAAGAAAGAATCTTCTAATACTCTTTTGTTCCAGATGAAATCTGTTGATTTCGAAATAAAAGGCTTCAAAGCATTTATGGAGTGAAATGCCAAAATGATGGGAGATGAAAATAGCTGGTTGGCGTGAAGAAATACGAAGGATACAAAATGCAGATCTTAGTATTACTGAGGGCCATTTCAGTGATTTACAAAGTATATTAATGAACGTAGTTATTCAGAAATTGATTCTCTTTAGTCCATACAGAACTTTAGCTCTCTGAAATGTATCGGTTCTTCTGAAACAATTTCGAGAAATCTCGTTGTTAATTTAGTTTACTTCCGGCACGACATGATTGTTTGATCGCAAGGTTTGTTTGACTTGAAAATATACTCTGACATATATTTTTTTACAAACGGTTACACCTATTATGTTGCACCCTCTTCATCCGACGTCAACCGCACACTTACGAATTATTTCAAAGAGTACAAAGGTGTAACTTCTAGCAATCTGCCCTACTGACCTTCAGAGCCGTAAGTTTCTTCTAGATAAGCGACAAACAATAGGATGTACAGCGAAAACCTCTGGATATCCATGTTTACGCTCAAATTAAGTTACTGTCGGTTGAGGTTTGTGAGATATCTTATCAAACGTGTTAAGAGTTATCAGTTCCCAGTTCCTTCTTAATGCAGGATATTTGCGTGCTGGAACAAGAATACGGGTTCAATTGTCCATTTTAAACAGGAGTGAGGCTAAGGTTGACCTTGTTATGATACACCCCTTGCTCCTTTTCAAATGCAAATTACTTTGTTATCATGCTAACTAGATACTGATCTCTATCACAACGTTAACAAGGTCACCTTCAGCCTCACTCCAAATCAAAGGCTTGGTAACCAAGTACACAACTGTAAAATTGCCTATTCAAAGGGAAATAGATTGTCCTGAAATCATGAGTGACTGCGAATTTTTTGGAAATGCATAATAAAGTACCGTATAAATAAAGTAAATAACACAATTATTAGATCGTTCAATTCAGCATCCCGCTGCATTATCTTTCATGATAACGTTTTATAGCGAAAAGTGAGTCATTTCACTCTGATGGCGGATCATCTCCAATAAGTAATTTGCGTAGTAATAGCGTGGTAAACTGCACCACGGGCACGCCAACGCTACGGCTTTATTCAGTAGTCCAGTGCTCAATGCACTGGGCTCCGAGTCGGACCACCCGGGTTCTAGTCACGGCCGGAGCAAGGCGTTGTGCCCCCTTGAGACGTGCGGGAAAAAAAATTTGAGCTCCGCTTTTAGACTTGGCTAAATCTATATATTATTTATGCTATACAGATACGGCACGTCTCGGTGAATCAGTTTCTCCCTTTAGTAATGTTTGGTTGAGTGGCGTGAAATACACGTTTTAGCATACATTTTTTTGGTTTATCAGTAACATAAACCGCCCAAACTGAGTTAGAGTATTGTCACTGTTCTCGAAATAAACCGTTTTTCGTTGCAGTAAACACCAGCTATAGCCAGGTGATGATGTATGGCCCCTGCGCGCTTTGTGCTGGGGTCATAAATCTGAGCGAAGAAAACTCGGTCCGTAAAATGCAGAGCGGTCCTCGAACTCGGTTACTAAGAGGTATCTCGTGCTCTTCAAACTTCCGGGTACATCCATACCTCGATGTTCGCACGCTAAGCATGGACCAATTCTTTATTTAACAAATAGAGAAGCCTTGACTGTGCTCTGTTCTGTTATAAAGCACGCAGGAAGCGGCTAGAGCACGAAAGAAGTGTGGGGGAGAAACACGAGACGTAGTCGCGTTTTTTTTCCCACTTTTGAGTGCTCTATCCGCTTCCTAAGTTTGTTGATTCTTCTGTTGCTACTTGCCGGCTCGCTTCAGTTCCGAAATTTCACTTTCAATTATCGGAAAAAGCTAAAGAGAAGTCCCGGAAAAGGACGAACATAGTACAATTGGCAGATTTCGTGACAGCTTTAGCTCAGCTCTATGCTCTATACTCTCATAGAGCACGCTCTTTCAACCAATAACAGCGTGCGTTATATCCGAACTTTATTATAGCGCGCGTGCTTGCCCTATGTAAGTCATATTGAGCTGCTACCAACAAAATCTTTATTTACGCACGCCCGTGTGTAAATAAGATGACGTGAGCATTTGTTTTTACCTGGCTTCAGAGTTTCCGTCCTGTTAAGCTGCAGACATAACATGTACAGCGGCCCTCGAACTCGGTTACTTAGAGGTATCTCGTGCTCTCCAAACTTCCCGCGTACATCCACACCTCTATTTACGCATAGACAGAGTATGGCTAAGCTAAGTATGGCTTGCTCTATAAGTCCTATTGAGCTGCTGTGAACAAAATCTTTATTTACGCACGCCCGTGCGCAAATAAGATGACGTGAGCATTTTTTTTCGCCTGGCTTCAGAGTTTCCGTCCTGTTAAGCTGCAGTGCAGTTTTCCTTCTCTTTGAAATATGGAAGAAACCAGCGAAGAACTGCCCAATTTTTCTATCGGCATCGACCTTTTAGGTCCTTATCCAACAAGCAACAAAAAAATAAAGCCGAAAAAAAACTCGCAA